GTGCTCTGTTTATCTGAGGTCTCTTTCTTTTCTATATGAAGGTAGTAAGTGGTTTTTCCATGTTCTTAAAAAATTTTGTTGATATCTGGATCGGGATTGCATTAAATGTGTAGATTGCTTTAGGTAGTATTGACATTTTCACAATAGTTAGTCTACCTATCCATGAACAAGGCAGGTTCTTCCATTTATCTGGATCCCTTGTTGTCTCCTATAGTAGTGTTTTATAGTTTTCTTTTTTGAGATAACTAATGGTTAAATGTCATGGTTCTTGGGGGGAGGGGAGGTATGTTGAATAGACTTTCCTAATGATTGAATTAATACATGGATGGATAAGCTTAGCAACATAATTATATTATAGTTAAGGTTCATCAAAGGAGCTCTGGTGGTGCAGTGGTTAAAACATTTAGTCACTAACCAAAAGGTCTGTGATTCAAACTCACCACCCATTCTGTGGGGAAAGTTGAAACAGTTTGCTTCTGGAAAGATTTATAGCCTTGGAGACCCGATGGCATTTCTACTCTATCCCATAGGTCTCTAAGAGTTGGAATAGATTCAATGGCAGTGGATTTGGTTTGGTTAGTAAAGGTTCATCAACAACAATGCTTGGACAGCTGGCTCATGTGATGGGAATTTATTTATTTTTGCAATTTCATCTTTCTCATAAATACAATAAACTGAACTATCACTAGGATAGAGAGAGTGATGACACTGTGTTTTACATTTATCCTTATGTTTTCTGTAGCTGATATTAAGGAGTCCTGGTGGCATAGTGCCTAAGACATTTGACTGCTAAGCAGAAGGCTGGCAGTTCAAATCCACCAGTCATTCCTCAGAAGGAAGATTGGGCAATCTACTTCCGTTAGTGATATTGCCTCAGAAACCCAAGGAGGGGTCGTTATGAGTTAGATCCGACTTAATGACAGTGTGTTTAGCTAATATTAAGTATTAGATATTCTTTACAAAATAAATGTCATTATTCCATATCAACTTAAAATTTGATCCACATCTATTACAAAGTGAAAGTATTTTATACTATTGGGCAGAGGGCTTTGGTCATTTCTAAATAGATCACTTATGCACATTTCTCATTTTACTAGTAAAATATAAATGAATTATGTAAATAGGTCCTTATAGTAACCTATTTGGGAGCTCTGGTAGCATAGTGCCTAAGGCATTTGACTGCTAACCAGAAGGCTGGCGGTTCAAACCCACCAGCCACTCCTCGGAAGGAAGGTTGGGCAATCCTACTTCCGTAGTGATACTGCCTCGGAAACCCAAGGAGGGGTCGCTATGAGTCGGGGCCGACTCGACGGCAAATAACAACAACAACAACAACAGTAACCTATTTAACTACAGTATATACATTCAAACAAATTTGTTGAAATAGAGCCTTCATTTCAACTTGACTTGATTCCATTGTAGACATTTTGAAAGCCTACTGCCCCCACAAAATAAAGAACTTCTCAAAATGTTTTCCTTAGTAATTACCCTTAATTAATCACAATAATGAGGAAAAATAGCCTTGATGCATTTATTACAATCTGTAGATATAATTGTTTGCCATACATTGCAAATTAAGTTGTGATTCATAGCTTATGTTCAAATTTAAATTTACATTTAAGTGGTCACATTTATAAAATGTAATTAGCTCATTTGTTAGTTATTGAAGCACCACATAAAAAAATATTGTGCAAATACAAAAGATACTGTAAAGAGATTTTTGTTATTAGCCTAAGTAATTGATAAAAGACTTTGAATTGATTTTGATATTGTAGAATTTATCACAGGCACCATCATAGTTCTTAAAATTGTTGGTTGATAATACATTTCCACCTCTTGATCATAATGCATTGAAGATTATAGTTTTATTTACTGTTTTATCCTTTGTGTGAGTCAGCTAACTTCCTACTAATAGCTCAAGAATTTTCAGAACACATTACATTTGAGTTAAATTGAGTTTAATTGAATTGGTTAAGGAAATGTAAGAAAAGGAATAGGTTTAGAGTGGTATGCAACTTCCACATCTAACTTCAATGATTAATCAAAGCCAATCAATTTATTCTGATTTTTTTTTTTTTTTTTTTCTCACAAAGGCTATTTGAATTCAGCTATCTGCCCTTTGAACAGACTTGATGGCAGTGAGTTTGGTTTGTTTTTTGTATATGCCCTTTAGGACCCCTCGTGGCACAGTGATTAAAGCATTCAGGTGCTAACCAAAAAGTTGGCAGTTTGTACTCACCAGCTGCTTTGAGGGAGAAAGATGTAGTAATTTGCTTTCAAAAGGATTTACAGCCTCAGGATCTATGTAGGAGATCCTGGA